ACTAGAGGGCATTATGCTAAGAGAAATAAGCCTCAAAGAGAAGGCCAAATACTGCATGCTATCACTTATGTGTGAAATCTAAAACAAAAGTCAGACTGATAGAAACAGAGAGTAGAAAAATGGTTGCCAGATGCTGGGGGGCTGGGGGTGGGGGAAATAGGGAGATTTTGGTAAAAAGGTACAAACTTTCAGCTATCAGATGAATAAGGTCTGAAGATCTAATGTAAAACATGGTGACTTTAGTTGAAAACACTGTATTGTATAATTGAAATTTGCTAAGAGAGTAGAATTTAAATGTTATAAACAAACAAACAAACAAACAAATAAATAAATAAAGTGATGAAATGTTAACTCAATGGGGGGAATCCTTACACAATACATACATATATCAAATCACTACGACATACACTTTAAATATCTTACCATTTTGTCAATTGTATCTTAATAAAGCTGAAAATAAAATAAAATAAAATACAAAAAAAAAAAAAAGAAATCAGGCAGGCCTGAAGAAAATGGAATGACATCTTTGAAGTGCTGAAAGAAAAGTACAAATCCAGAATTCTATATACTACTAGTGAAAATGTCTTTTCAAAAATGAAGGTAAAATAAAGACTTTTTTTGGATCAAGAAATGCCAAAAGAATTATTGCCAGCAGGTTTGTACTATAAGAAATGTTAAAAGACATTTTTTAGACAGGAAGAGTGCCAGAGATGGCAAATATGTGAGTAGTTTTCCTCATTTTAATTTCTTAAAAAGACAGATGACGGTTTAAAGTAAAAAGAATCCCGATGCACTGTGGGATTTAAAACAAGGTGAAAGTAAAAAGTAAAAAGCTACTAAAGGCTGAGAAGAGGAAGGTGGAAGTATGTTATTGTAAGGTTCTTACAATATACATGTACTAGTATATTATCATTTGAGGTAGGCTGTGATAAGTTAAAGATGAATATTGTCAATTCTAGTGCAACCTCTTAAAAATAGAGGTATAATTAACAAATCAATAATGAAGATTAAATGGAATCCAAAAAATCGTAATTAATTCAAAAGGCAGAAAAGAGGAAAAATGGAATAAAGACTAGGTGGGACAAATAATAGGAAGATGGCAGATTTAAACCCAACCATATTTATAATGATGTCAAATGGAAATGGTCTAAAGACTTTAATTAAAAGGCAGAGATTATCAGACTGGATTAAAATCAAGACTTAACTACAATACTATCTACCAAATACACATTTTAAATATAAAGACACAGACAGGTTAAATATAAAAGACTAGAAAAAGATATACTTTACAAACAATTTTTAAAAAAAGTTGAAGTAGCTACATTAGTATCAGACAAGGTAGCTGTCAGAACAAGAAATATTACCATTATTTATTACAAAACTTGTCTCAAGTTGTAAACACTTAGGAGGAGCAGAGAACAGTTTAGATTTGATGCAATACTGAGAACACAGCATTTCAGGCTGAAACCCCGCATGCATTATCACCATAAATAAATGTGGCTGTAATAGCTGCAGGCGCTTCTTAACCACACTGCACAGAGGGAGGCGGTGAAAACCGGGACGAAAAGCTCACAGTCGGCTTCTGGAAAATGGGAGCTGCCCCGGCTGTTACAGTCACAGTCCCAGTTTTGCACATTACATGTCACTGTTGCAGTCATTTGAACATCTGGCAGTAATGGGGTCATTACTACCTGAAAGGATACAGAGAATATACTTTCTAAATAATTATTTTTATAGAGTGAAACTTGAGTGTCTATGTGAGTATGCATAGAGTGAAACCAAATTCCTTAACTTAAAAGGTAGTTATATATCCCAAGCATATAAACGGAGCCCAGGAAGCACTATCCTCTGCAAGAAGCTGAATTTACGGTAACCAAAATTATAAAATATCATAATGAAAAGCAAGAGACATATCCGTGGACTTCCAAAATCTACTTTAACAAAACTAAGAAATAGGCACAATTCAAAGGTTGGTTGTTTTTTTTTTAACAGACTTTTAAAATGAAAACTTTATTTTCCAAAAATGACACATTTATCTCCTCCAAGCAGCTTGATCACACTCTTTATCCCTACCTTAGGAGGAAAAGTTTTTCCATCCAGAGCCCTGGAAGGGAGGCTATTACCATCTGAATATCTGCAATATGCCTGCATTGTGAACATATTATCTCAAATAATCCTCATTAGAACTCTAATGAAGTACAGCTGTATGTATTCCCAAATCACATTTCTTCTTAGGCCAGTCTCCTTATTGGAAAAATAAGAAAAGTGGGCTAAGTGGTGCCTACATTTCCTTCCAGCTTTAATATCCCATAATTCTACATAAAAGGCTCTGGTGTCTATTCCTGAGAAGCTTACAATTTGTTAAAGACAGCTAAGTAATAATTTTAGGCACCAGAAAAAAATACAAATAACCTCAACCAAGCAAAAATGATCAATGTAACTTGAATGGTGAATGGCTCTGAGAAACCAAGTTAAAAACCCCAGTCAGTCAGGATGTAAAATAAAGAATATACTAGGGACTGAGGGAAGAGAGAGAAGAAGGGGAGAAAAGAAGGGAGGGGGAGAGACGAAAGACAGAATTTTTTATTAACCAAGAATAAGCTGGTAACTAATGAAAAAATTGTAACTCAGTTCCATTCGTCCCTCCAGGAAAGCTGAACAAACATAAAAACACACGCCTGGAATTATTGACCCAATTGTCTTTTCCTTTCAGCAGAACATTTAAACAAGGCTCAGATGACTAGCCATAAACAATTTTTATCAGCTAAATTAAAAATTACTAATTAATGTATTATATAGATTTTTAAATCATTAAAAAAACAAAACAAAACAAAACAAAAACCCTCCTATATGACAGTTTCAGAGTAGCATCAGTATGGGATTCTGTCTCATTGAGCATGGGACACCATTAAAAAAGATGACAAACCAATCAACCTTGAGTCCAGGCTAGCTCTGAAACTAAGACCTTGTTATTCTCTTCCCAGACGTGAACAGGGCTCCTAAGGTGTTAGGCGCACCTTTTACGTCAGTATTTACCTCCTCATTATTACCCCAGTTACACCACATCTCTGACAAATCAGTTGGGGTCTGGGTGTTGGCTGGAAAAGCAAGATGTGTCCTCTGGGTCTCCAGTCCTTTAAAGAAACGATATATCGCAGTTCTGCGGAAGCTGAAAAATAGGCTAAGCTGCCTTTTTATAAAGGTCCGCCCTCCAGGAAGGCTGCTCTAGTTAGGACACATGTACTTGCAACCCCACTGTCATTACTAGCTCAGACCACCCCGCTCCTCCCACGCTTTCTGGTTCGGGTTGCCATCTCTGCCTTAGGGCCACCTCTTGGTTTCGGTAACCAGTCTGGAACCTCTTTTTTGCCTCAATAACCTACTCCCACTTCCTGCCATCGCTGTTTCCTGCCCCGCTCCTCACCCAATCCTCAGGGCCTGGTATGGTCCCTATGTTTTATCTCCTTCCAAACTCAGACTGCCTTGGCCACGCTGCACTACGCTCACAGTGAGAATACCACGTCGACTACCTAATCTAAGCTATCTGCGTCTGTTTCCTTGTCTGTAAAATGGGGTAATAATAATACTACGTACTTCCCAGGGTTGGGATGAATAATAAATGAGCTTATAAAGTATATAAACAGGGCCTGGTACATAATAAGCACTACCACTACTATTAATTTCGTTTTTGTTTTCTCCAGATCAGGTGGCAGCTGTAGTGATACCTTCCTCGTGCTGCTGTGGATGGGCAAGCACATTTGGAACTCGTCTGATCGCTCCGGGGTATGAAATAAATGGGGACTATGAGGAAGCAGCACTAGGAACCCACCTCCAAGCTTGCTTTCTGAAGTCTAAATCTATAGGAACTACTCTGACACAAGTTGTTCTGAGGGTGGAGCCATTTCCGGTTTAAACATTGAATGTTCTCTACAAGTCATTCAGTGACCAATATTCTAATTCAATGCAAAACACTACTAATATTTATAACCTCAGATGTAAAATGTTATGGTATGTTACAAGCTTATTTATCTGCATTTTCAATCATCCATTTCCTCTGGCTCCATGCTTCAAAATTAGCACACTTTATTATATTTCCACAGCAGCTATTTAAGTGCTCTGAAGAACCAGAGTGAGGAGTAGGGGAGAGCAGCAGGCAAACAGAGCAAAGGCGATACAACGAGCCAAAGGCCTCAAGTGTGGTAGTTCCAAGTCTGGGACTGCCGACTGCTTGACCTTGGCAAATCATCCTGCCTTTCTGAGGGGTCTGCTCCCATGTAAAACTGGGATAAAGTGAACCATACTTATGCAGGGGTTTAGTAAGGATCACAAGTGTCTCTCCAATTAAACCACAAACAACGTGAAGGTCGTGAAGATCAAGAAGGCCAATGAAAATAACTCCTCAAGTGGGCAAATGTAGAATAATCTTTAATATTAACATTTAGTATACCAAAAACCTTCTGATGACAAACAAAGGGCGGATAACATCTCAGTACCATAAATAGTGATAAAGACTCATAATTAAGGGACAGAAGCCCTTTCATTGGAGACATCTGAAAGGTTAACACAAACAGAAGACTTAAAATAGTGTCTCTTGAAACAAGGTAATAACATCCTTTTATTTTCTCCAAAGCAACATAGTGTACAAATAACAACTAAAAGCAGTTTTTGGAAAATTTGAAATTACTTAAAGGTTTTTATATAAAGCTTTTAAAGTTTAGTCTCAACAATATACCTATTTGCACTCTAAGGTATGTACCTCACACTATAGTTATTCTGAGGATAACATAAAGGATTACAAGAAGCCACATAAGAAAAATAAAAAATAATAACTCTACTCTTCATTAAATTATGACTAATGGTCCATATTTGGACAGAACAAAAACTAGGTGACATTTAAAAAAAAACTCCAACACCAAATAAGAAGTCAGGCAAGGAATAAAAATCACTACACTACTCTTCTATCTTAGGAGTAACTACAAAGCAAAAAGGAAATAATTTACCTCTATAGCAAAGATGCCTTTGTCACGTCCATATAATTTCATCTCTTCTGGAAAATGCTGAAAAGCATTTATGTAAGGAATATGGTCCTCTTCAACAAATCTGTATTTTTAGAAAGAAAGAGTTTCAGTAAGAGATAAGTACTGATGTCGCAAAGTAAATGAAAGAGCTAAAAAGTTATTTCAAAGACAAAGTAAGAATCAGCATGTTGTTATATTTTTAAGGATGATAAATTAAAATCATCTGTTATTCTCCGTACCCATGTGTGGAGAAAACATATAGTCAATTATCTAATGATCTCTTAAGTTTCTGACTAAACAGATGAACTGTTTCTAAGAAGCGTCTATCTTATTTGTCAATTCTCTACCAAGTTTGCAGACGTGGCATTCCTGCTCTCCCTAGCTCCCCCACATGATTAGCTCCTACTCGTCTTTTAAATCACTTCTTTAGAGATAGCTTCCTTGACCCCTGTGTTGTTAGGACAGCTCCCCTGTCTACCTTCTGTCCCCAGGACCTATGACAGTGCATCGTACGTGCTTGTTGCTGGAACATTTAAGGCAGCGGTTCTCAACCTGTGGGTCGCGACCCCTTTGGGGGTCGAATGACCCTTTCACAGGGGTCGCCTAAAACCATTGGAAAACAAAAAGATATTTATATTACGATTCATAACAGTAGCAAAATTACAGTTATAGAGTAGCAACGAAAATAGTTTTATGGTTGGGGGTCACCACAACATGAAGAACTGGATTAAGGGGTTGCGGCATTAGGAAGGTTGAGAACCGCTGATTTGAGGGGAGGGGCCTTGCCCATTGCTTACCACTCCATCCCAATGTCTGGTACATAGTAGTTCATCAAATTTTTTTGAGTAAATAATTGAGTTTGAAGAAAATATCACACATGCATAAATAAATATGGATACATATTTCTTTACAATTAATTCAACAGAAATTTATTGAGTACTATACACCCGGCACTACTTAGGCTATGGGAATACAGCAGTGAACAAAACAGAAAAATATTTGTGTTCCTAAGGAGTTCACACTCTAGTGAAAAGAGAAAAAGACGAGCCTGGCTGAGTGGCTCATTGGTTAAGAGTAAGCTCTGAGCAGCAGGACCTCTGGTTCGGATCCCACATGGGCCAGTAACACTGCGCCCTCTACAGCTAAGATGATGAACAACAGCTCGACCTGGAGCTGGGCTGCCGTGGGTCGCCAGTGGTGGAGTAGGCTGCAGTGGACTGCAGTAAGCTACTGTGAGTGGCCGGTAGCCAGTGACCGGTGACCGATCTGCTTCACCCAGGAAGAGCGCAATGATAATATCAACATGGGCCAGTGAAGCGACGTCCTCCACAACTAGACTGAAGAACAAAAGAACGGCAACTTGTCTGTTCCCCTTCCCTGATTCCCCAACACTGTTCCCTCCTCCAATTCCCCAATAAAATCTTTAAAAAAAAAAAAAAAGAGAAAAAGACGGGAAACAAAACAAATTAAGTGAAATCTATAGTATGTTAGGTAGCAAAAATATACTAAGGAGAAAAATAAAGTAGAGAAGAAGAGAATGAAGGCTGGGGGGTATTGCAACCTGTACCATTTATATATACATATCTATATATTAGATTTTGTAAATAAGAAAATTGTTAAGGAAAATAAGATCAAGACAGAAATAAGTTAGTATACAAAATAGTTTGCATTAAAGTCATCATTGTTGGTAGAGCTAGCAATTAAAGAACAATATTCAAATTAAATTAAATTCCAAATTAAAAATGTGACTTGTTTAACCTTGTAGTCTACTTAAAGTTGAGAAAGTAAATATTTATGTAAAAATGGTGTTTGATGAAGCTTATGATGAAATAGGGCTCATTGAGAGCAGTCCTACAGGGAAAACCACCCCACCTAGGTTTTCATTAGTTTAATTTATATAAAAGTATCTAAACATAAGAATCAGTATTCACATTATTTTAGGACTACTTTTTTGGTTCAATATTATTTTATATACAGGATGTATTATTGCATGCTTATCACTTTGACAACTCTCTAGTATTCCATGATGTTAATACAATTCACAATCTATCTAGTCACTGCCCCTATGTGATAATATTTATATGCCAGCGCTGTATGAGGTGTTAGGAGTTTGAAGATGAGTAAGACATGAAGAGCTCCCACCATGACCCAAGCAGGTCAGTCGGCAGCCTGTAGGTGTGTCAGCACAGCCACACTGCCCCACAGAGGCACACACAGTCTGCAGGAGCAGAGGAAGGAATGAGAAACCTGCCTGCGGGAGGCAGGGATGTCTGCACAGACCAGGCCTTGGGCATCTGGGGTTTTAACAATTTTCACCATTTATAAATAATGCTGCTCTTAACCTCTTTCAAAGTACTTTTTATCTTTTTGAATTTGAATTTCCTTTTAGAAAAATATATACTTTTCCAAAAGATAACTACTGAGTCAAAGTTCTGAATGATCTATTTCCCTTTTTAAGTATTATGGCTAGGTTTTTGGAAGCTGAGAGAGGAATGCCACAGACCAAAAGTTCTTCCTGACCAACAGACACTACTTTAGCCATCTCCCCCAGAAACACTGTCTCTATTTATAATTTTATTGTATTTTTCAAAAGTTGTAATCTGTGACCAAGTGGAAATTTACCAAATTAGTTCTTCATCGCAGATAATATAAGAAGCACTGCGTTAGAGCGAAGTCATGTCTCCCTGCAAAACCTATCCTGAACCCATTCACCTCATCTCTCTTCGTCAGCACCAGCCTAACCCGAGCCACCTCTCCTTTCTGAAGTACAGCACAAGGCCACCTGGTTTCTGGGCTTCCACCTTGCCTTCCTGGAGTCCATCTTTCCACAGCTGCCTGAATGATCAGACCATGTCCCTCCTGCTAACTCTCCCAGGGGCTACTGTCACACTCCTGATGAGTATGGGGTGTCCTCCTGGAGTGATGGATATATCGATGAAATAGACAGAGGAGATGGTTGCACCATCTTTTGACACTGAAAACCACTGAATTGCATTTTAAAATGGTGAATTTCATTGTAGATGAATTATACCTCAATTTTTAAAAATCCAAACTCCTAACCTGGCTTATAAAGACCTGTATCTGGCCCCCGTTTTTTATCTCTCTACCTTCATCCTCCTACTCCTAATAAGCTTACTCCACCACATGAGCCTCGCTGCTCCTTGATCACGCAGAGCCTGCTCTTGCTTTTTAGGGCCTGGCACTAGCATCCTCCATCTCCCCAGAATGCTAGTACTTATGATACTCACCTGCTAGCTCCATTTTCATTCAAAGTGCAGCCTCAACTCCACCTCAGTGAGGCTGTCCCTAATAACCCATCTAAAGCAGTCATCTATCATTCTCCATCACGTCCTCTGACTTCAGTCTTCTGCACAGCACTTCACCGTGTGGTCATTTTTTATTTATTTATGTATTTGCTCATCTGTTTCCTACTCTAGTCTTGAACTTCACGACTTGATCTATATGGTTCACAGCTGTATCTGAAAGGTCCAAACTCTAGAATAACACCTGCATATAGTCAATACTCAATAAACATTTGTAAAATGAATACATGTTGACTATTTTTATTTATTATTATTGCTAGGTTGGCAGGGTCCTTTAAAGGATATTTTAAGGGTTATCAATTTATCCTAAGGACTATGGATGCTGCTAAAGGATTTAAATAGGGGAGTGACATGCAGGATCAGTATAACACATAGGGATATTGTAGCCAAGCTAATCATGTATTCTCTTCAAATCAATGTTCTTTAACTATTTTTTCAAAGTCTGGTAGTAGTTCTCAAACTTTAGCATCCATAGGAATCTCCTGGAGGGAGGGTTTATTAAAAGAGAGGTTACCAGGCCCTACCCCCAGAGTTTATGATACAGAAGGTTAGAAGAGGTCCACAGATTTGCGTTTCTAACAAGAAGTTCCTGGTGATCCTGCTGATCAGGGGACCACACTTTGAGAACCTGTGGCTTAGAGCTTTTTCTCCCAGAAAAGCAAGCGGATGAGCGGTGATAGTGTCTCCTCCTCTTACCCCAGGCGATGGAGCTCTGTTCCCAAATCTGTATGTGCGTAGAGCAAAACAAAGCCCTCCAGCAAACTAGACCCAGTCTGAGGAGGTGCTGAGCAGTGCCCTTCAGAGGGAGGAGGGGAAGGCGGGAGGGAGGGAGACAAAAGGTGTAGAATCTCACCCCCATCCTTCCAGTCATATACAACATTCTCCTTGTGAAGAATTTCAGGTAAATGTTTTCTCCATCTTGTTAGATTTCTAGGAGAGTTTTGTTATCCCCTTATAGATTTCCCTGGGTAGGATGGCTAGCCCTTTATCAAGCATTAATGACTTGATTAGATTGCTGTTTCTTTCTGTACGACCCTCTAGTTATGGAGGAAAACAGACAGGAATGGCACAAAACTACAGGCACAGTGCTTGGAGGCTGCTAAGAAATCCAGGTGAAGATAGAGACAGAGGGAATGCAGAGAAAATGGCTTCATGAGTTATTTTTTAAGTTATATAGGAAGAATACCTGATAGGATATACTAACTGTATATGCGGAGAGGGGAAAGGGTCAGGGGTGATTCTTAGGTTTCCGGATAGGATGCAACAGGGCGCATGGTATTTATGAAGGAAGAAAACACCGGAGAAGGAGCTGGATTGAGGAGAAAGGTGATGAACCTCTTTTAGTCATGCTGATTTTGAGATACCATACAGACACCCAAGAAGGGTCCGGCAGGCAGCTGTATATACGAATAGATGGGTCTGGCCCTCAGCAGACAAGTCTGGGCTGGAGATAGAAATTTGGGAGTCATCATCATAGAGATAGTAATTAAAGCCTTGGGAGAAGATGAGATCACCCAATGAGGGCATACAGAGCAAGATGAAGTTTTTAACTCAACAGTAAAATTCACTGAATCATGGACTATCTGCATGCAGAGTTAATCACACCTGAGGAAAGCCTTGTTATTGGGCTGATGTGGCCAAATTCAAAGGCGCTATCGTCATTTACTAGAGGCATTTTATTTAATCAAAGGGCCCAGTG